TGCTTTGATTTAGAGATGCGTTCTTGCAGCCCAGAAAGCCCATCATATCCTGGACTCCATAAAAAGCAGAATAGTCAGCAGGTCGAGAGAGGTGATTCTTTCCTTCTACTCTGTACTTGTGAGACCCCACCTGGAGTACTGCACCCAGCTCTGGAGCCCTCAGCACAAGGAAGACATGGACCTGTTGGAGCAGGTTTAGAGGAGGGCTACAAAAACAGAGGGCTGAAACATCTCTCCCATGATGAAAGGCTGAGAGAGTTGAGGTTGTTCAGTATGGGGAGGAGCAGGCTCTGGGGGACACCTTATGGCGGCCTTTCAATATAGGAAGATGAAGAGAGACTTTTTTCCAAGGCCTGTAGTGACAGGAAAAGGGGCAATGGTTTTGATAAAAAAGAGGGTAGATTTAGATTGGGCATAAGGAAAAAATTTTTGTGACAAGGATGGTAGGACACTGGACCAGGTTGCCCAGAGTAGTTGTGGATGCCCCATCCCTAGAAGTGTTCCAAGTCAGGTTGGATGGAATTTTGAGCACTCTGATTTAGTGGGAGATGTCCCTGCTCATGGCAGGGGCTGGACCAGGTGATCTTTGACAGTTCCTTCCAACTCAAACAGTTCCATGATTATGATCTTCTGATACACACACATACACGATCTGTTCCGGAAAATAAGTATAGAATACTTTTGCACATTAATACACAGTTTTTATATCATAACAGCTCCTCGAGATGACAAGTTTAAGTGCCAGGAGATACGCAGCTGCAGCTAATGATGATCAATAAAACCAAATTAAAATGTAATAAAAACATTACAGCTCCAAACGTATCCATTTGCAAACAAAACCCTTAGGCACAGACACAGTCATTATATCATAACAGTCTGGTGCTCCAGACAGCTCTCTTCCTTTATATTTCTCTCCACAAATGATTCCCGATGTCCCACTTTGTCCTACCTAAAAAGCCTCTCTGCTAGAGCTTGGGGGTGCAGAGGAGTAGTATCTTGCTATCTCCTTCTTCCAGGTTCCTGCTTCTAGCCAGGGAAAGGAGAGGGTAAAGGTGCTGCACAGGTGGGAGCTATGGCCCCAATGCAGTGTGCTGCAGAACACCAGGGACAGCTTCTGGGAAAATCGTAGCAAGAGGAGTCAGCTAGACAGTCTTTCTCATAACTTACATTATGTGAATTTAAGGAGCTTTAACATTGTGCTCCTGGGTGATACTTGTACCGAAAGTGTAGAAGATTAATTAGAATAATATTGCTGGCTGTTAATTGATGTAACAGGAGAAACAGTTAGGTACAGTGAGGGAATTTAAGACTAGCGAGTTTGAAAATCTCACTTTAAACAGGAACACACCAGTGCTGCAAGGAATTTCTTCTGAATGGAAAGATGCTACTTAGTTGCTTTACAGTGCAGGTCTGACTAGTTAAGGATCTAGATCAAAACAAGCCATTTCTCCTAAAGCAATTATAATTTTATTTCTAAATAAAGTTAAGTCATAGGGAAGCTTTACATCATTTAAACAACAAAGGCCTGCAAAGGAAGCCTTTCTTCATTCTTAGAGTTAAAAAGGTTTAGGAAGGTCTTCTATTTGTTATTCTCCTACATAGCTTTTTCCAC